GATAGATAGATAGATAGATAGATAGATAGATAGATAGATAGATAGATGATAGATAGATAGATAAGTTTTCCATTGTTTGAACAGGGCCAGGTATTTCAAAAACTAAATTAGATTTTGAAAACCCCCTTGGACATATTGAAACTCAGATGGAATTAAGAGTCATAGAAATAGAGATGAATTAACTGTATTATTATAAGTCAGGATTAAATGGAGAAGGGGAAGAGAATTTCCAAGAGTTGTCAGTTTAATTTCAATGAATAGTTTAATTATTAAAAAATGAGGTTAGGGAAGAAAAAAACCAATTCCCATCTGGACAGGTTCTCTCCCTCTAATCCAGGAAGGGAGTTGGTTTGTGTGTGTGTGTGTGTGTGTGTGTGTGTGTTCAAATTTATGTATGTCAGGTCTCAGGTGAGATTTAAATCACAGGAACCACCCATGCTAAGTTATATTTAGAGATTTCTTGATATCCATTTCCAGAGCATGCTGGCCTTATAATTGGAAACCTTGAAAATGCAGCTTTAACCCAAAGAAGTAAAGACCAGGTAGAAGGAAACAAATAAAGGAGAAATTAACTGGAGCTGTCCTTTGTTTGCCAGTTTACATTAGGAAATGTCAAGGCTGAACAATAATCCGGTCAGGTTAACCTGATCAGTAATGTTGCACTGTATACAATTGGATATCTCATTCTCCGTAATATACAGAATAAAACCACTTGGGTGAGATCTGTTGTGCCACTGCGAGCATCTGAAATTAAAAGTCTAAAATGCTATTGTTTTATTACCTTTCATCTCTGACGCTGGTTAATTATAAACTACCCTAAGTAACTAATGAGTAACCCAATAATAGGTAGTCTTCGACTTACAACAAACAGTTCATTTAATGACCGTTTGACATTACAAAGGCAATGAAAAAAGTGGCTGATGATCATTTTTCACCCTTATGACCATTGTAGCATCCTCCTGGTCACATGATCAAAATTCAGACGCTTGGCAACTGACTCATACTTACGACAGTTGCAGTGTCCCTGGGGGGATGTCCCGTGATCCCCTTTTTGCGACCTTCTGGCAAGCAAAGTCAATGGGGAAGCCAGACTCACTTAACAACCGTGTGATGGACTGAACACCTGCAATGATTCGCTTAACAACGGTGTTTCTTTAAGGATCACATTCCACTATTTCTTTAATATTGGTGTAATTCTTTTGTCCTGCAGCGACTTGTCCTGCAGCCAGTTGACTGTGGCAAATTGGCCATGGTGAGTTGGCCATGGTGAATAATCATAAGACCCTATTGAAACTGCATATAAGCCAAAATAAGGCACATTGGGCCAGGGAATGTGTAAACCAGGGGTGTCCAACCTTGGCCACTTGAAGACCTGTGGACTTCAACATGACTGGCTAAGGAATCCTGGGAGTTGAAGTCCATAAGTCTTAAAAGTTGTCAAGGTTGGATGTCTCTGGTGTAAATCCAACCACCCTGCAAGGCTCGAAGGATGTAAACAGTACTCATGTTATTCCAATTTCAGGGCGATTATTACTCCGTTGAAAAAATCTTAAGTCAATCATATGAATTTTAACTAAATGACTAATCTGGTAAACCCACAAGATTTCTAGAAGGACACATTTCCTTTGCTTGCTGACAACACACAGATGTCCCTTCCAAGAGAGGCAGAAAAATGCCTCTTAAAACAGGGCTTGCTACCTGTCATTTGATAAAAATAGCTGCATTGAAAATGCTTTAAAAAAAAATATATCACGGCAGCTTTTTTGGCTGAACCAAACCTAGCTAGATCAGAGATTAAGGCCTGAATAGGAGCCTGAATATTCATTTTTTCCAGGGGGTGGGTAGCTCTCTTAACATTACACAGGGAAGGACGAAGCAAAGCCTTCGAAATTCTTTCTGGTGGACCCTGTGATCCCCGCCTAATCTCAAATGACAGTCTACTTTGGGAAGCTCTGTCTGCAGGGGATCAGCTCCCATGCAGATCTAGCAGCCCGTTGGGTGGGGGCAGAAAAGGAGGGGATGAAAGGGAAGGTCAGACAAAGGGTGAGGAAGGAAGGAAGGAAGGAAGGAAGGAAGGAAGGAAGGAAGGAAGG